CTAGTTTCTGGTTCTTTATGGCTGAGTAGTACTCCACTTTATAAAAAAACCCCACATTTTCTTTATCCAGTTTCCAGTTGATGGGCACTTGGGCTGTTTCCAAGCTTTAGCTATCACAAACTGTGCCGCTATAAGCATGGGTACATATATCGCTGTGGTATGATTCTTTTAATTCTTTTGGGAAAATACCCAGCAGGGGGATAGCTGCGTCAAATGGGACCTCTATACGACCTTTTATTTTTGAGACAGACTCTTGCTATGCAGTTCAGGCTGGCCTTGAACTTTGTTGCCAAGGCTGGTCTCGAACTCCAAGTGATCCTTTTGCCTCAGCCTCCCGAGTGCTGGGATTACAGGTGTGTATCACCACATCTAGCAAGACATTTTAAAATGCTAAATCTCAGAGTACTTTCTGTGTGTCTTTATTGTAATGCTAATCAAACTGTATTAAATTTGGTATTACTGGCCTCTCCCACTGTATTATACCATCTCTTAATTTTCAAATTCATTCATTTTTCTTTCTCTGAAACAAAAGGTTTTATTGAGCTGTTGAGAGCCCAGTAGCATGAAAAGGCCCAAATCTTGAGATTTTATAATTTTATAACTACCAGCAGGAAGGCTGGACAGCAGTTGGAAGTATGTCTTCAAATTCACTTTTTGCATCAATTATCTTTCTTCCTTTCCCTCATTTTCAAAAGTGTCTCTTAGTGTTCAGAAATGACAGTCATACATTAGTCAAAAAAAAAGAACCACAAATTCAAGTACCCCAAGGAACCAGCAATTACTGTAAATGGGCCAAATGTAAGGATGACACAACACAAGCATGATGCCCAGTGGTTACTGCTCAAAAGCCCCAGTGCTGGGACCCTCAGGACTGGAGGGGAGTGGCACTTGGAGCACACAGGCCCTCTTTAAGGGCATCTGCTCCAGCTTACTGTTGTCTCTAAGAGTTCAACCTGTCAGACCTTCCTGGCTTCCAAGAGCCAGAAACCTGGGATTTTATATGAAACATTTTCATTAAAAATGCTTATTCACAGAAAATACGTGGGCCACAAAGGCACACTGGTGAGACTAGGAGCGGTCTGTGACTACACTGAAGTACAGGTAGATCTGAACAGGATTTCTAATGTACTAGGCAGCCTTTGGGGAGGTAAAGTAAACTGCCAAGGAATTGAGAGGAGGCCAGGCAGAAGAAGGTGGACTGGGGAGGCTCACTAGGGCAGTGGTGCTTCAATCAATGCAGAAAAGATAGCTCTTTCACCCCAGGTGCTGAAGGCTTACCAAGCAGTCACCCAGAGCCTGGGCTGCCTTAGGCAATACAGCAGTCCCTCCACCTGACTGTGAGACCTGCTCTCTGGGCTTGCTCTTCCCCTAGCATTGGTAGCATTTTTTTGAGAGGTGGTGGTACTGAGGATTAAACCCTGGGGCTGTTACACTGAGCTACATCCCCAACCCTTTTTGAGACAGGGTCTTGCTGAATCCCTAAGTTACCAAGGCTGGGATCAAACTTTCAATTTTTTTGCCTCAGCCTCCCAGAGTGCTGAGATTTCAGGTGTGCACCACCACACCTGGCCCATTATCACAACTTGTGCATATTATGTACACACTTATAACTCACCCTGTCTCACTCTGCTGTGTCTCCCGCAGCACACAGTACTTCCCAGTACATATACGCTAAATGAGTCTCTCCACCTAGTGCTATAATCCCTGGGTTCTGACTGCCCAGCCCGGTGAGGTATCTGCTCCATTCTCTATATGGGTGATACACGTTTCCCCATGCTCAAGCCTCTGCTCCTATCCACGGCCCTCACCACTCTAGGTTGGTGTTGGTGGCCTACACCCTTTGGCCCCATCAACTGGCCTACCAGTCAGTGTTTCTGCCTTCCCTTCCCTCTCCATGTAATGGACAGTGAGCCTCCTCTCCTACTGTATGAAGGGATCGCCTCCCTTTGTATCCATTTTCTCTACCTATTCCATTCTACTGGGTTTTAAATGTGCTCAAAACTCTACTATCCTAATTATATTTACCTCTGATGTTGGCCCTCTGCTAATGGCAACTCTCCAAAAGCTGTACCTTCAGCTGGCTCTGTACTGAGATCTGGTCCTCCATGTCCAATACCGGCCCCAAAGTGTTGAGACCCACTCATAGATATGCCAGCAATTAATCACCTGTCCTTCACCCCAACCCTGAGCTAGTTCCACCTCAGTCATTTATTCCAAGCCCACCTCTCTCTCCAGGGTGCCACTATCCACCCAAGGGTGCCACTTGCCTACCTCTCCTTCATCCTCTGCAATGTGGCTTCTTGTTGACTCATTTCTTATACTACAGCCAGAATGATTGCTTCTACAAAAAGTCAGTCTAAATGCCCAGAGTCTGCTTAAAATTGTCCCTGCTTTCCCAGAACTCTGGACATAGTCTAGATAGCCTGAAAGATCTCCCCCCACCTACCCTGGCTCCTTGCTGCAAGGCCTTCCTGTCCTGAGACCCAGCCACTGTGAACTACTAGTTGCTTGTCCCGTGCCACCTCAGGGAGCTGGACTAGGGTGGGGGAATGGAAGGAGCCAGCTGCACTTAGTTTCCAATGGTGCTGCAGTGAGGGAGCCATGGTACCACAGGCTTTCCACTCAGGCCTGTTCACTGATGTATGACTAGTCAGGAGAGCTCTTTAAACCATGTCTGCACGACACTCAACTCAACAGCACTCACTCTGTGACCGCCATAAGCCTTCCGGAATGATAGGCCAAGAGTCAAAAAAATGACCCTGGGCAGATTCACTAGCAAGGTGGGTTCTGGATGCACAGGAGGTGTCATTTATAAGACTGAGTGGCCATAGAGAAGGCCTCTAACCTTATTCTTGTATTTAAGTTAGAGGCAGAATAAAACTGGAAGGAATAACTAACATGCTGACCACAGAATCAAAGTTCAAAGAGCTCTCGAGAGGCTGGAAGCCCTGATTCTACCAGCTGGTCAGGGAAAGGCTCTGCACTAGGAACAAACAAAATGCTGTAGAAAAGCAGTCGCCAGGGAGGGATTGTTAATCACTGCCTTACAAAAGAAGCCAGGAGTGGTGGTTCATATGTATAATCCCAGCACTCTGGGAAACTGAAGCAGGCAGGAAGACCATGTTTGAGGACAGCCTGGGCAACTTAAGCGAGATGCTGTTTCAAAATAAAAAAATAAAAAGGGCTAGGAATGTAGCTCAGTGCAAAGGCTCTGCATTCAATCCCCAGTACCTCCTGCCCCTACACCACAAAGATGTCAGAGATTAAGCTAAATTTGAGAAAAATAGTGTGTGATACAGCTCAAAAGGCTAAATGAAACTTATAATGTATTTCTAGGAATATGATTCTGGGTGAGGCAGGCTACAGTCTTGTATTGGTAAAGTGCAATTACAGCAACAACATCAGTTCTGGGGACAGGGATCCTCATAATAGCTTTCCAGATGCCCATAAAGAGGACTGAAATCCGTGTCTATGAAAAATAACTGTGGAGAATGGGCAGACAAGATATGGTAACTACAATCAGTTGTCTGAAACTGCATTGTGGGGAGAGTGTGAATGTTTGCTTTGTACCATTTCAGAGGACAAAGTTACTACCATAATTATATTAGGGTGATTTAGGCAAAGTACAAAGAGGAATTCAAATGTCCAGGAAATGGAGCACACTAGGAGGCAGCACCTTGGAAGAGGTTTCTAGCCTCTCCTAAGTACACAGAAAGTATTTTGGAAAGCAGCTATGCCTGGAGTTGGAGCATATTCTGCTAGTGCCCTCTCCATACCTACTGAGGGCTGTGATTTGGTGAGTACAGGCTCATTCATGGTAAGGCAGGTCCCATACCTGCATACAGGTTGCTTTGTTACCATGGACCCAGTTCGAGAAACTGGGCTGTTGTTAGTTCTCCAGTTATAAAGGGCAACTGCATTTTATCTATCCCCTGTACCACACACATGCTATATTTCTCGTTTCTCTTACGGTTCAAGCTCTGTGGGCAGCTTCTGGTTCAAATCATCTCATCATTTTCTCTTCCATTTGCACCAAGTGGGAACTTAATTCTAAAGTTTGATTTTAGGATTTTCTCTTTCAACTGAAACCAAAATCTGACTTGTATAACGTCTTTCTCATTTTATAAAAAATTTTCTATTTCCGTGCGAGTGGCACATCAGAAATCCTGTAGCGCTCTAAAACTACCAGGGAATGGGCTTCATTCCAAACCAATTAAATCACACTCTCTGGGATTGATATCCTTTCTCCTCCCCTCCATTCAAAGGCAAGGTAAGTGGGAGAAAAGTTAGGGTTGAGAACCATTAGTTTATCTGATGAAGTGAATTAACATAAACTAACACAATGGGCCCCAATATTACCTAAAAGAGATATATTTCTTCTTTTCACATCTGATGCTCATAGTGTTGGCACTACCATTTAAGGTGCTGGATGTGTGGCATGGGAACAGACTTTGATTATTTGGACAATATAGGGTAGAAAAACATGACTGTATTTAAAAATGTATAACCAACCCGGGTGAAGACTAAGATCAACTACCAAGGTTCAATAACTGAGCAAAGGCTAAAAAATTACAGTTCAAGCACACCACACAGTGGTAGGCAGTCTCTAAAATGATGTTTGTAAAGATATGAAGTAAAACTGAAAAACACTGAGAATAAGGCTAAAAGGAAAAAACAATTCAAAATTATTTCTATAAAATAATGTAAACTACCCAACACTTATAGACTGATAAGAAACTCAGACCATTAGAGTACAGCACAATATAAAGACAACTTCAAAATAAATTATCCTCTGGTAAGGTGGAAACCCTCCCCCACCAAAAAAAAAAAAAACCTCTCAGCATTCCTCCCACCTTGGATAGGAATCTACTAGAGGATCCTGTTTCATTTATTCTCTTTAGATGATAGATCTGACACTGGAAGGCCCAAAGGCACCTATGTTATGTAATGAGCATAAACTACCTTTCTACTCATAAAGTAGCATAAGGCACCTTCCATACCTGGCCCAAGCAAAGGCGACCGATTCAGCTGAGCACTGGCCTGGTGTGGAGGCGGCGTCTCGCCACGGTGTGTGGTGTTGCTCGTGGTGGGGGTGGTGGTGGTGGTGTTGGTCGTGGTACTGCTCTGCATGACTGGGTTGTTTCTGTCCCACATGTTTACAGTTTTATTGTTGTAGTTGCTTGGGTCCCCCCAAGCTGAGGTACCATCATCAATTTCCATTTTGCGTCGGATGGACGGTGGAGAGGGTTCTTCCCAGCCAGTGGCCTCACTGCTGTCCTTCTGCTTGACTGGTACCGGGCCCCCAATCCACCCTGTCCCTGTCTGTTTAACAGAAGCAGCTCCTCCCCAGTTACTCACACTGTTGTCTTGGGGTTTGTTGGCCCAGTTCTGTTGGGGACCAGGTTTCAGAGACTCCCCCCAGTTTGTACCTGGATTCACTTTTGCATTTGTGCCATTGCCCCAGCCACTGGTCCCAGATCGTGTGGCATCATTCCACCCAGACCCTGATCTAGTACTGTCAGTATCCCATCCAGATCCATTTTTTTTCCCATCCCCCAGGTGTCCCAAGACAGATGATGAATCTGCCCAGTCCCCCCCTCCTGTACTCCAGGCTGGGTTCGATCTTTGTCCTTCTCCCCAGTTTTGGGATTTGGGTTTCTGAGGCTCACCCCAGGTGGGTGATTTGTCCTCCTGATTTACGGTCCCACTCCAAGAATGGCCACTCTTGGCAGCAGCAGCATTATTAACAGCAGTAGAGCTTATCGAGTCCCCCCAAACCCCTGGGCCACTTGGTGCTTTGTTGTTGCTGTCTCCCCAACCTGTGTTTGCTGGCACGGTGGCAGGTGGTGAGCTGACCCACCCTGATACTGAAGAGGTATTTGTACTGTTCATGATGGACCCATCATTCTTCCCCCCTGAGTTTGAAGGCTGAGTAGCTGCACACCCCCAGGCCTCTGTCCCATTGTCATTTTTCCTTTCAGACCTAGGGGATTCTTCAAATTCCCAGGCAGTGTTTTGCTTTACAGGAGTCTGTCCCCAACCAGTATTAGACAGAACTCTGGGGTCCAGATCATTCCGTGGCAACTGGATGTGCCCCTGGTCTATACCCCCCTTATCTCGTCTCCGGCTCTCTCCTGTCCCGTCCCTCCCAGTGCCTCCTTCATTGTGATTACCAGACCCATCATTGCTTCCTTCACTTGTCGTAGTTCCAGAAGATGCAGCTTTGGCCCAAGAGTTCAGGTGTTCACTGCCAGGCTGCAAGGCAGGAGTCTGGCTGGCAACACTGGGGCTGTCCCACCCTGCTGATCCTTTCCCATTGATGTCACTACTGGAATGCTGGTTTGGGGGCTTTCCCCACTCCCCATTCACACCATTAGAGGAACTTCGGCTGGGGTGGCCCCACGCTCCCGAATGGATATTACCAACTCCATTGTTGCTACTGCCCCTACCCCAAGTGAGTATCCCAGGGCCTGCTGGAGGCCCAGACTCCCAGGCGCTCCCTCCATTCCCTTCCTTTTGCACAGCACTGCTGGATCCATTTTGTTTAGCACTTAATGCTGAGTTCACAGTGTCTCCATTCCCCTGACTGAACCCAGAACTGCTATTTCCTGTGGCAGGGTTACTGGGGGCCAGTCCCCACACAGAACTGCTTATTCCTTCACCACCACCTCCACTGCTTTGAGAAACTGATGATCCATTAGCACCAGGAAGGCCTTGCAGGTGGGGCGGGATGATGGCCCCCATACCAACAGCCATGCCCCAGTTGGGCAGTCCATTTGTCTGCATTGCATTGATAGAGTTTGGTGAAGAGTTCATGGGGTTAGTGTTATTTGGTCCATCAGTGTTAAGGTTCTGAGGTTGTACGCTGAAAGACACATTCTGAGAAGTGGACGTTTGTGGTTCTGTGCTCTCTTGCGGCAGCAAGTTTCCCCAAGCACCCAGAGTGCCTGCTGGGTTCCCATTCTGGCTGCCCATATTCTGTCCAATGGCACTGACTGGACTGCAAATACTGGAAGGGTTGCTTGTTGCCACAGTTCCTTCATGTCCAAGTACAGGCCAGGCAGCTGGGTTGGCATTAGGATTAAGGTTAAGATTAATGCCGGTGTTGGAGTTGGAAGCACCCCAGCAATTCTGACTTCTTCCATCTCCAATCATGTTGTCCATTTTTCCATCCCCACCACTGATAGAGCAGTGAGCCAGGCCAGAGCCTGAGCCTGCGGCTACACCCCACACTCTGGCTGCGCTTCCATTCCCGTTCACTCCCCCTGTCCCAAGGGCACTCTGATTAGAAGGGCTTTGGACGAGTGCGCCATTGGTGCCATTATTGCCATTCGCCTTCTTGGTATGTCCTGTGAAGCTGCCCTGGGCACTCCCTGTAGCCATGCTACTGTTCTCGGAGCCACAGGTAGAGGCAGAGTCAGTGTCTGGAGGACATTCTGAGGCAGATTCAGTCTCTATTCCTGTGATGGAAGGCCACGCCTCCTGGTCAGTCCTGTCTATTATCACTTCATCCCAGTTGCAGCTGGCTTCGCTCCTGTAAGGGGGCTGCTGTCCCCAGGGGGGATTTTCATAATGGTCAGCTAATCCACTGTGACTGAGATCTGAAAAATGTGAAACAAAATTCAAAATTAGACTTTCCTCTCCCTTGTTAATTAACTGTCAACTAGTCCGCAGGAAATCTCTTTATTTCAAGTTTTCAATTCTGAATGACAAATGTTAAAAAATAAAACTCACTATGTAGTCCAGGCTGGCCTGGAACTCCTAGAGATCCTCCTGCCTCAGGCTCCTGAGTGCTGGGATTACAGGCGTGCACCACCACACCCGGCTTGATAGTTCCCATTTTAAAGAGATGTTTCTGAAATAATATTAATTCTCACCTACCAACACTTTGATCAGAGGGCTAAGCACATGAGCATCTCAAGGGATCTGTAGGAAAAAAGGTTGCTAAACTCAAAAGTGGAATGTTACGGTTTAGATATAACATGTTCAACCCAAAAGCTTGTGTTCAGAGGATGGGACCACCAGGACTCTTAACTTCATTACTGGATTAACCCATTGTTGAGGCCATAATTTGATGGTATTATTTAGGAGATGATGGAAACAGGACATGTGGCCTTGCTGAAGGGAATGTGGGTGTGTGACATTGGGGACGATATCTGGTCTCCAGCTCCTTCCTCTCTGGTTCCCTCTCCTTCTCTCTGCTTCCAGGCTGCCATGTAGTAAGCAGCTTACTTCTGCTACATGCCATGACGTTTCTGCCTCGCCACAGGCCTAAACGCAATGGAACCACTACCCATGGACTGAAACTATGAGCCAAAATAAATCTTTCCTCCTTCAAGTGGTTTTCATCAGGTATTTGGTCACAGTAATGGAAACATGACTAACAAATGGCACCTTGGGCCGGGGTTTAGCTCAGTGGTTTCACTGCCTGCTGCGCAAGCACAAGGACCCGAGTTCGATCCCTGGTACCAAAAAACCCCAAAAACCCCCCAAAACAAGTGGCAGCTCTAGAATTTATGACTATGCAACTCCTATAAATATGTAGATACTATAAAACAACAAAGACATAAGTTCATGTGAACTTTTAAGTATGGCTTGGCATTCTCTTCAAGGCTTCTAATTACAGCTGTAGTACTCTGTAGGGGCCACATACAGCTCTTTTAGTGGAAGATCACTATAAATGCAGTGCAGAGTCATATAACAACCAGTATGGGAGGCACAAGGGAAGGCGAGAGAAGACATTAGAGGATGTTACCTTCTGTTATCAAAGATACTAAGTGTTACAAATGTTTAATTAAATTTATTACTTTAACTTATCACCATTAGTTTATCACTGTTTCTTGTGTGTTAATTAAAAATTCTTAGGCCTACAGCTGGTATCTTCTTGGACGTCTAGGGAACCCTTCTGTACTTGTTTCCTATTTTCTTATAGTCTTGAGATTCCCAGAATAACTTTATATTGTATCTTCCTATAGGATTTATGTAATTTCACTCTTATGATCCTTTTAAAGAACCCACCATTTTGTAACTGCCTATTATCTCCTATAATTTCTTAATGATCTGACTATTTCCAACATCACAGTGAAACCTGTATTTCAATAAACTTTCCAATAGACTTTATTCAGAGTATGTACCATTCAAAAATAAAGTGGAAGTTTAAAGTTACTTAATCTAAATACACAACAGAATCACTCAGTTTACAAATCCATGGTGGAGCTTCTTTCAATAGTTATGATAACAGATAAACTGCAAAAGATACTACCTTTTCTTTTAGAATCTTTTAATCATTATGTTCTCTTTGAATTTAACAAGAAGAATCTTATTTGTGGACAGCTAAAACATGGGCTTATCAAAGAAGTTCTTTAATGTTTGATGGAGCTAAAGAAAAAACAAGGAAGTATGTAAAGTATCGCAATCACGAGACAGAACATAGTATAGCCAATACCAACCTTATAAAAAAGAGATTTCTGTGGCTTGATTTAAACGTAAAGTATTAAATTTATAACTATGCTATAGGTGATTCCAAAGGAGACAGGTAATTCCAGGTGAAAACTACAAAGTGTAGATGAAGATAGTTCAACCGGAAATTTGAAGTATCTAATCTACTATGAAACAACCAGGTTTTTAATTGCTGAATGTTAACTAGGGGTTGGCTCTGCAACTGTGGTTTATGACAATTTCCCTTGTTGGATTTTAAAAACTAGCTTATGTAATAATGAACTGACAGACAAATAAGCCAGTCATCATTTAACACAAGAAAATAAGACCAAGCTAACAGATTAAAGCTGTTCTCAGCAAATTCTAGCACAGTTCATCTTGCCATCTGTCTCCTTCCCTTGAGGACACTTTGCCATGAGGCAGGCCAACCGCCTCTCGACTAGGACACACTCACTGCAACCCACAGTGAGAGAGCAGGAGGTAAACAACCCAGGCTCACTGTATCATCATTTCCATCCCTCGATAGTCATGCTGTAAAAGGATCATCCCTTTGTTAACAGTCTGTTTTGAGGATCTGTGTCAAGTTGCTACATGAGAATTGCTTAAACCCCCAAGTGGAGGGGTAACAGTCACGTCACAGGCTGGAAGATGACAGCACCAGCCTGGCAGACAGAGGGAGGGTTAGTTAAGGAGCTCCTGGACAACTCACTGGCCATGTGGAAAAAAGTAAAAGCAGTTCCCTTATCTCACGTCATACACAAACGTACACTTGGAGAAATAAAGACCTAATTATGAAACGCAAAACTTTTTAGAGCTTAATACAGAAATGTAAGAAATTATCTGTGACCTTTGACATTATATCCTCTACATGTCCAAAAAAATGCATAAGCCATTAAAAAGCTGATTAAGTTGACTATATTAATTTTAAAAAATCCATATGATAAAAGACATCATTCACTGGAAAATAAAAAGCTACAGGCAGGAAGTACCACATAAAGGATGACTGTCACAGTGAAGAACTCTTATAGGTCAGTAAGAGAAAGATGGAAAATCCAACCAAAAAATGAGGGAAAAACAGAAACAGCTCTAGAGAAGAAAAATCTAAATAGCCACTAAGAGCTGAAACAATGAACAATCAGAAAACCAGTTCAGAACGATGACGTGCATGTCACATTCTGGTGGGGAAGCACACATGTAATCTGAGAACTGTGGAGGCAGCACGAGAATGGGGCTGAGGAATGAGAACTGTGAAGCAAACATGGCAAGAAACTAGGTTAAATTTTGATTGTGGATAAAGATACAATAGCTTCTATATACATTCTATTTTCAAAATATTCCAAAAAAGGTAAAGAATTAAATGACACAAATCACATAACATGTTAACATAAAGTCTCAAAAGTATCTAAGCCAACTTCGAAGGAATGTAATAGAACAAAAATCCTATTAGAAAAATGTGGTAATTTTGAGAGAGCACAGATTCCATGTGACTAAATATCAATGTGATCACTGAATTATGAGTCTAATTTCTCAAGGTAAGCTCTTTGAGGGCACAGACGGTAACTCTGTGGTCTTAGTCCATAACACTGGCCATATATCAGGCAGGCAATGTTTCCTAGGTGAACAAAAGCATAACTGTACATGCCAAAAATCCAAGTTCTGGCTAAAGTTATCAATTAGCTGAACAATCTGAAGTCAATTCCCAACTCTAAAATTATGTTGAGTTATTTAATCCCTAAGGTTCTGAGCATTAAAATAAGATTTCTAGAGCTTATGTACATATTAATGTAAGAATCACAAATACACAAAACCAAGCAGTATATCCAATGTGGTTAGTCTCAACTACAGTAAGAACAAAGATGTTTAATGTATTCAATTATCTGTAACATAGAATTCACAGTGCATAGTTTATCCTTTTTTTTTTTTTGGTACTAGGGATCAAACTCAGGACCCTGTGCTTGTGAGGCAGGTGGTGGTGCCACTGAGCTAAATCCCCGGCCCAAGTTTTCTATAACTATTATAAAACAATACCAACACACGCCATCTTCCTACCTGGAGGGCTTGGTTTTGGAATTTCCTACCAATATTTATAATCAAAATGTGAAATTATAAATAATAAATATGAATAGCAAAAATGAAACAACAGAGTTATAGTTTTTCATAACATGGGATAATAAAATGCAGGGCAACTTTTGTTTCCCATTAGAAAACCAAACAAACCTAAGTCTTTACATTTTGAGCTACATCCCAAGAGAAAAAAATAATCTATCAACTTCCCTGTGAGGTAGTATGAAAGGTAAGTAATATATTTAATATAGTAATTAAATGTGAAAGGGGGACAAAGAAAAAAGGCAAGGAGAAACTACTGAGTTGGAAAACATGGAACCCATACTGCAGATGAATATTGGTTGGTCCTGTTTTTTGTGGGGGGAGAAGGTGAGACATGGTCTCACTATGTACCTCAGGCTGGCCTTGAACTCATGATCCTCCTGCTTCAGGCTGGTATTACAGGTGTGTATCACCATGCCCAGGTGTGGACAGTCCTTTGATTAAGGGCTTTACAAGAGCAAATGACGGGACAGGACTGAATAAAGGCTGACTGGAATTAAGAAGACAAGTCTGTGAGAAGGGATTTTTTTCATTTATATAAATTTTAAAATCTCAAATTTCAGAAAATACATCAGTCACTGGGGAAAAAAATCACCCCAAGGTATATCTAGGCACCTGTGCAGCGTGGCTACTGTGAACAAGTGAGCGCATCTGGCTCCTGAAGGAGCCACCACGAGGTAACACCTGTTCAGTCCTCCCCAGGCTGAGACAGAGAACTCAGAATTGTGGTGGTGGAAGGAATCAGCAGTAGCAAAATAAGGTCTACACAAACCAAGTACACAGATCATCTCCAGTAAATAGAAGTTATATACTTTGTGTTTATCTTCTATAACCTTTCTTTCCAAGGGCAGGTCCCAAATATTTCTCTGAAATTATAAAAAGTGAAACAAAGCAAAACCAGGGATTAGTCCATATACAGGGCTCTGAGTTTTACTATGAGAAATATGTGTCATTTAACTTACTTTTTTTGGAAGGGCATTAACATATGTAGGTGATTTAATCACTATAAAGGATGCTATTAGAACAATGGTGAAATTTAAATGAATAAAGTTAAAAT